CTACAGTAAGAAAATACAAAATATTTTTTGTATTTTCAAAAAAAGCTAGAAATTTGAAACAGGCCTTAATAACAAAGGGGATTGATTCTTTCAAGCTAACCAGCATAAAATCAACTATACCAGAATAGAAATTACCATCATCATTAGCACCAATCAAACTTCCTCCATGATATGGGACACTCTTTTGTAAATACATCCCATCAATTAAAACAACACAGTCAGCAATAATACTACCATTTTCCAAATATAATCATAATCCTGATATAGGATCAATGCCACTTTTTGAAGGTTATTTTAAATAAGACAAAAAAAAAAGTGGAAACTCATCTACTAGCAAAGTATATGCCTGTTTTGGTGTATATCTGTGCATCAGAGAAAATCTAATTATTTCATTTGTGTAGATTGGATGTCCTTTAGGTTTATAAAGAGGGTTTATATAATTCTGATAACAAACTTTGTGATACCTTTTCTGCAACTTCATGCATATAAGAAGCAAAAAGGAACTCTTGTCAGCGACCATGATAGTATTTGTAGAAAAGAGAAAGAGATTTTTACAACTTTACAACGATAGGAAGGAGGCTTAAGCTTAGCAGATATAGCGGGTCCAACTAATTTTACAATGCGTTTTTGGACATTGTCTAGAAGAGAAAGAGCATCATTAGAAGAACCAGCCCAAATATGATACCAGTTTTTAATACAGGGACAAATAAGAGATTTGTTGAGGTAGAGAATGGAATCAGGAGTAAGAAAATGATGAGAACAACAAATAGAAGTATTCTTAGCGGATACTAATTTAGCAATCAACTGTTTATATGGTTTCTTTGAAAGGTCAGTAGTGAACGATAATCCAAGAAGATGTAAACAAGACGACTCAGTGAGAGGGTTGTCATTCATTAATGTAGGAATGTCAGCAGTATTGAGATAGTTGTTTGCAGTAAATAACTGAGTTTTGATGAAGTTGAAATTTACAAGCCACTGCGAGCCACAATCTGTTATAGAAGTGAGACCATATTCAAGATTGGTTACCTGTTCTAAGCAAACAAAAAGAGAAGACTTTTTGTGAAGCAGGAGTATATAATTGAATCATCAATCAAAAAAAGCAATCAATCAAAAAGAGCTACTTTGGATGTTAGGTTGTTGAGAAGATCATTAATGTAGGAAAGAAACAAAGCAGGATCAAAGATAGACCTTTGAGGTAACCCAGAAGTTACAGAAGTGAAGAAGAGTTTTGACTTTCGAGGATGACTTTAATAAAGCGCTTAGAAAGAAACTATTTAATAATCGTTTGTAAATAAATTTTAAAACGCTTCATTTTACAATTTTTTTTTAATGCTAAAATTTCCAAACTATGTTAAAGAAAAAATTTTTTTTTTATAAATTTAATTCAAGTTTCAAATAATTAATTTTTTTTTCATTCTGTTATGAAAGTACTAATATACAATAGTGCTTAATGCATATATGACTGTATATAAATGGATTGCCTGTCAAGCCTGCAGGCAAATCAAGCCTGCAGGCAAATCAAGCCTGCAGGCAAAATTAATAGATTTATTAAAAATAATTTAGAGATGTTTTTTAGTAAATTTTATATGACAAATTTATGTAAAAATGATTTTTTCAGTTTTGAAATTGCTTTTTAACAAAAGTTTTTTCTTTATTATTAATTTTTTGAATTGGTTATGGAATGAACGGTTAGAAATGATTAACTAGTTTGTGAAGATTTGTCAATTCAATATGTTATAAAAATGTTGATAGTTTTTATTATTTTTTTTTATTATTGAATGTTAAGAAATTAAAACATAAAGAATTGCCCCCTCATTTAAAAAAAAATAAACATAAGATAAATGCTTTAAAAAAGAAAAAGAAAAAAAGTTTAAATAAAAAAAAAAGTTAAAAAAAAAAAAAAGTTTAAAAAAAAAAAAGTTTGAAAAAGTAATTTTTTTTTCTCTTAACATTCAAGTTTTTTTAATAAATTTATTAACAACAATATTGTTTAATTTAAAGGTATTTTATAAAGATAAAGACTTACAATAATTTTTGATGTGGTTTCAATTTAAATGTAGTTTTAATGTGGCACTTTAAAATACGCAACTGACATAATTAAACTTTTAATGATGTAAATATGTTTATTGAGTAAAATTTTATTTATTTGTGTTACACTTTTCCGTTATATAACAAAATCTCATAACAAGGCCTGTCATTAGGAGTATTGCTCAGCAGATGGAACCTTTTTCATTACAAAATATAAATGCTGTTGAAGCTGTTAAAAATTACACCACAAACTTGTTTCATCCTATTGAACCACGAAAACCAATGACAACTGCTAGGCTATCGGAATCTTATCATTTGCAAATCAAGTTTGCCAAAGCAATGTTACCCAATACTACAGATTTTACAATGGCATAAAAAAGTGAAATGGACATTTAATAGCTCCTGTATTTGTACAAACTGGACCAGCCGATGTTTTTTGGAGATTTTTCTCATCACATTCAGACACCAGGAGTTATTAAATGTGTAGCTTGCAATATATTTGTATGCAACCAAGTGGAAGCCAATTAGATATCTAATTTAGTATGCATAATTAGTATGGTGGCATAATTGTGACTAGTGTGACCAACAAATAGTCCAAGTCATTAGTAGCCTCCAAGTCTTTTGATTAATGAGCAACATGATCAATATATTTATTCTCAGTAAAAGCATTATTTTAATGCTTAAGCCTCTTATATGGTAGTTTAGTTCTTTCTTCTAATAGCAGTTATTATTCTATTTCATCTTCATTTAAAAAATTTGTAGTTGTTAATGCTTCTTTGGATTTGTATTCTACCTACTGATCTCATTAATATATAATAAAATAAGGTGAACAACTTCAAAAAAAATGTTGAAAGACTTTTTCATTTGCTTTCAATAAAGACTTTTTTTTTTAATTCTTCACCACCCCAAGGCTGACAAGACCACTACAGTCGAGGCCGAGTAGGCCACTACAGTCGAGAAGGCTATTTTTTTTTTGTGGTTACAACCCTCACTCAACTCTATAAGTTCGAAAGACGAACATTGATGAACAAAGAATATTTGATCGCTTTAGAAATGCAGGATTCCTACAGAGCATGTTTTTCCTGTTTTTTTCCTGTTTTTTCTATTTTGGCCTGTTTTACCATTTTTTAGGCAAGTTTTTTAAGCCTAAATTTTTTTTAAATTGCCAATTTTTTTTAAAACCTGACCATGTTCATTTATAAAAGAATATGTTTTATGGAGTTATGAGGCATTCAAGATCAAAAGCTTTAAAGTAAATATGTAAAGTTTTTCAAATAAAGTTTACTAATTTTATTTTATGTTTAACATATTACTGTTTTTACTTTTTTGTACTAGATTGTTAAAAGATTTAAATGTTATAAATTTAATACTTATGTTTATTTTTTGTGTTATGTTAAATATTAATATTTGAGTAAATTGGAATGTTTGCCTTGCACGTTCTGATTTGATGAAACAACTTCATCACATACAAAAATAAAAAACAATCTGACAATGTTATTAATCAAGCAAATTCGACCCCACCATGTCTCTAGTAGTACTACACTCAACTTGTTTTTCCGCCCAGCGGCCTTGTTTGTCATGGTTTGTGTTTCATAGTTAAAGAGTTGAGAGAGGGTTGTAACCACAGTTATAATAGCCTCCTCGACTGTAGTGACCTTCTCGGCCTTGGGGAGGTGAATTAACATTAAAAAAATGATAAAAAAAGTAAATGGTAAGTGGGTGCATTGTTTTTAGGGAGTTGTACTGTATAAGATCTTTTTGATAATTTTAAAAAAGTTGCGAAAATTTAGCTGCAACCAGAAGTAATTCTTTCCATTAGTATGGATGGTCCTAATTTCAATGAATTGTTCTTAAAAATATTTATGATCTTGGAAAAAGAAAAAAAAATATTATAAATGTTGGATCATGTCCTCCCCATACAGTTTCCAATGCTTTTTTGGAAGGTGTGAAAACATTGATTTCTGAATATATTAATTTGGACCAATTAGCAATTGATTTGCACAGTGTTTTTTTTTTAATTTATATATCAATTTTTTGTAAAAAGATTTAAATAATACTTTGCTGTGGAATTATTCACTTACAAGGACAACTGTTGAATCATTTGCTTACAAGAACAGCAGATTTTTTTTTTAAAAAAAAACAAATTTTATTTAAACTTCTCAAATAATTTTTTTTTGGTTTCATTGATTTAAATTTCTTTTTCTATTACACTTAGACAAAGCAATTGATAGAAAATTAATAGAAACAATAATAGCAAATTAATAGAAACAATGATAGAAAATTAATAAAAACAATGATAGAAAAATAAAGCTTGAAGATGTTGAGAATTACATAAAACAGTTCAAAATCTAAAAAGATTCCGAAAAACTTATGCAAGAGGGAGACAAACTATTAAAAAATTGTGTAGAAAAAATGTGAAAGGGTAGTATTTGTAAATGGACTGGAGTAATCTTCTGTATCTACCATACTTGTATCTATCTATAATAGCAGAGGTGACTTTCTCTGCTTTACAGATTATTTCTCTTGTTGATTATATTTAATGATAATAAAATATAATCAACAAGATTATATTTTATTATCATTAAACTTAATTATCCACTAATTATCTCAATTTTTGATACTTTAACAACAATAGCAATGAAAACTACTGTTTTTTTTTACTGGTTTTATAATTATTTTTTTTTTTACTGGTTTTATAATTATTTTTTTTTTAATAAAAAAATGATTTTGTTTTATTTTATTTCATTTTATTTTTATTAAAAAAATGATTTTGTTTTATTTTATTTCATTTTATTTTTATTAAAAAAATGATTTTGTTTTATTTTATTTCATTTTATTTTTTATTTTAAATTCATATAAATTATTATTTTATGTAATTAAATGAATTTGCTTGTTTTAAAGAAATAATTAAATTGTTTGCTTTAATTTAAAAAAAAAATATTTTTTAAGTATTTTTATAAAATTTTGTATAGCGATTTTACTTAGTTGGATCAAATAATTCACAGTCAAGGTTTCGAATTTTGAAGATTGACCGAACTGAGCCTACAGAAATAAATGTAATAGATGACAAGGTAAAATTTATTTTCATAAACATTAATTTAAAAAAAAAACATTAACTTAAAGTTTAAAATGTAAACAAGAAACTTTTATATTATAACAATAAAAATTTCTTATTTTTAATGTAATATTTAAATGCTATAATGAAAACCTGTCTAAACAAGGCTAAAGTGGAACCATGGGTTAAAAAAAATAATTCTGGGTAATTACTTGTTTAAAGGGTACTTTTGCCCTTTAAATAAATTAACTTTCATTTTAAATCACTAAACCTAGGTTTGATCAACCATGTCTAAAATTTATGTCATATATGTCAGTTGTGAAGACCACATGTCTAAATAATTTGTCTAAATGGTTTTCTTTCTTAAATCAGATCTATTATCTATTTCTGCTGTTACTATGCTGTAAAACTATTTATAAAATTTTTTATTAAAAAAATTTAACACAAAAAACTTATTAATTAAAAAATCATGTGTTTAGAGGGTTTAAAATTAAGAAAAAAAGTAAAAAAAAAAGTAAAAGAAAAGCAGAAGTAGGAGTTTATCGAGGTATAGTGGCTCTCTGGGCTTTACAAGGATTAAAAATAGTTCAATTAAACAATAATTCAAACAACATGATTTTCAATAAAAAGTTTAACATCTATTGTTAAAATTATCTATTTTCTATTTTATGAATTTTTTTATATTTTGTCATTTTTATTTGAAGATTTTGATAAGGAATTTAATTAGTTATCTAATATTATTGATAGATAATTAATTTTGTTGCTAGGGTTTAACTGTCAATGTTACCCACTGTATGGGGTAACATTGACAGTAGTATGTTTTATGCTGTAAATGTTAAAGTTACATCATGAGAGATGAAATTATCATTGTAGTTTTGACAAAAAATAGAGTAAACATTTTTAATATATATTAGTACCAACTTACATATTCGTTTTAAAAATAAGCAGCATTAAAAAGTTGTAAAAATTGCAATGAAAATGTAATGTTATATTATTTTTTTAAAGATAACAATTAGTTTCAGTTCTGATAGTGTCTACTTATAAATATAAAAAAGTTTGTTTGTGAATAAAAACTTTTTTTTAAGAATTGTCAAACTATTAAGCTCAACATCACATTGATGACTCAGTATCTGACTACGATAAAATCCTTTAGCAGTGTAATTTTTTGTTGGATTTCATTGTTACAGATTTTTTGGTGTTTAATTTCAGAAACAACAAGATAATTTTTTACATATTCAGGTTTTGATGTCTTGTTCTTACCAATATTATGCAACATTGTTCTGTGTAAATTTTAACTTTTATGCAAGTGTTGGTTTTTAGATCTGTTGATATTTGATGTATTGGTACATTTTTTTTTCAGAATTACTCTTTAAATTTAGAGTTTGCTTTGTTTAATTCCATTTTATGTAGTTGTGAAAAATTATTCAGATGTAAGACATTCTGCAAACTTGATTCTTGGTCCATGTACTGACTTAAGCATTCCCATTAATATAACCCCAAAACAGAATTATGTGTTTAAAAAAAAAATGCTACAAAAAGTCTTAAATGTTTAGTATTTAGAAACAACTAAATAAAAACACATGTAAAAATGGTATTATAGTATTACTTATCTTTTGACTAAAGTTTTTCAGCAACAAAAAAACTTAAAATTAGTTTAATTTATGTTCTCCATATTGTGTTGTTATTTATACTTACTATTTATGTTCTCCATATTGTGTTGTTATTTATACTTACTAATATGTGGATAAAAATAGTTATTTTTTTTATTTAACATCTGCTACAACATCTGCTACAACATCTGTTTAAATAGTTTAAACAATAACCAATTGGTAAAAACATTCAATCTAAGACATGCCAATGTTACCCACATGTCAAAGTAACCCTTATACATTACCTTAAGCATCACCTTATACAAAATGTATGTATGTATGTGTGTATATATATTTATGTGTGTAAATGAGTGTATTGATATATGTATGAGTATACATATAAATTAAAAAAATATATATTTAGACCAGAACATATTTTTAAATAGTCAAAACAACAATTTTCGTCTTCTTTGCTTGTCAAGAACGAAATTTGAGATGATTTAAAAGATCATATGCAAATGTAAAATAAAAACTTTCTTTTTAATCCTTTTTAAAATAGAAAAGTTCAAATTGAATTGGCAAAAACCATATAAATAGTTTTAATACAATTTAATTTTTCTTTATTTTCACACTATTTAGTTTTATTAAATATTAAAATATTTTATGTTTTTATTTAGGCATTTTTATTACATAAATCTACTCAATTTATTTCTATCTTTTAAATAACTGTAATATTTCAACCATTTTATTTATAATTATTTTTTAGGTCGAATACAATGAAAAAGAGATTAGTGAATTGCTTAAGAGAATTGATGTTGGTAATCGACCAAAGGCAAACAAGTCTTATGAAAAGGGAACATCAGGTCTAACATTGCGTTGTTCAGCATTTGGAATATTGGGTAATTTTGTTTTTTGGTGTATATTTTGTTTTTTATTATAACAATTAATACCAATAATCTTTAAATTTTTACATCAAACAAATTCAAATATTTTAGTTTAGAAAAATAAAAGTATAGTATAAACTGGTGGTGTATAAATATAAAGTATGAACTGGTGGTGAAATCCATTGTTGTTTGTTTCATAGTTGATTAAAGTTCTTGTTTTATTATTATTAAACAGCTAATCATTATTATCGTCATCCATTAGTGTGGAAAAAACATGAACAGTCAACCTATAATGACCGAAATCTTTTTTATCCCAAAAATGAAATGACTGTATAATAACCGTATAATAATCTAAAATCGAAACCATAAAAATAAGTAGTCAAGCATAAAAATAACTAGTTATAAAAATCACTATAAATTTTATTTTTTTATTCAACACTATTTTTCTTTCAATTTTTTCATTTATAATTTTTCAAACATTAGAATAGTGGTATTATAATAATAACAAAAAGATTTATTTATTTTTTTATTTTTTAGTCTTTTATTTTCTTGTTACAGAAAAAAAAATATTCCATTTTGATTAAGTCTTTCAACATGATCTAATATGTTGTAATAATACCACAATGTTGTAATAATACCACAATGTTGTAATAATACCACAATGTTGTAATAATACCACAATGTTATAATAATAATACCACATTGTTGTAATAATACCACAATGTTATAATAATAATACCACAATGTTGTAATAATACCACAATGTTATAATAATACCACAATGTTAGAGTTAATATTAAAAGCTTGAAATGAATTTTTTCTCCAGTTAAACTTAAAATAATAATCACTTGAAATTTGTAATTTTTAAATTATGAACGTCTTTTAAAGATCATAATTTAAAGAATTGATGGTAATAAGTAATTAAAAGTTATAGTAATAATAAAATATGGCAGTTAAATTAGTCAAATTATTTTAGATTAAAGTTTTCCAACATATAATTTTTAATTTTCTAAAAACTAAATTATTTTATATAAAATTTAAAACCACTAAACTAAAAATAAAGTTAGATTTAAAAAATAACTAAACATCTAAAATTACTTTGTTATCAAACTTCAGTTTTTAATTTAATGAAAAGCTTTGCACACAGTTATTCAAGGTCAGCAATTTGAATTTTATACTTAAGATCTCCTACTTCTTTTTTAAAAATAAATTTAGCATTGCATAATTTATGGACGATCCCTAAACGCATATCATCAATAGCTCAGTGGTTTAGTGTGCTGTCATCAGTGTCATTTCGGGGGTTCAAGACTTCCCCTTAACGTAATAAATTAACAAGGATAGGTCTATGAAAATATAGCCAAAATTGAAAAAATAAAATTTTTTCAATCTTGGCTATATTTTCATAGAAAATATTATCTGTCAGGACTTGTATGATCCAGGTCATGATAAGTCTGTTTTACACTGACATTATCTAAACTTGTTTATATTATTTAGAATTTGTTTATATTATATACAGTATATATAAAATAACAAAACACAATATAAAATTAAAAAAAATTTAACTTCATAGATTAAGTAGATTAATAAACTGTAAAAATAATAATTTTAGATGTGCCTATTTTGTCTTCTAAAGGAGCCACTCCTTCAAAAAAAAAGGGTCAGTCTTTGTCTTTGTTCTACGGTATGCTAAAAAATAAATTTACAGAAAAGCAACTATGATATGTAAATATAAAAGGAGTCAGATATAAACATCAATATATCATCACAAAATAAATCTAAAGTTAAAAAAAGCAACTATAATATGTTAATATAGAAGGAGTTAAGAGATCACATATAAACATTACAAATCTACTTATCTGTTGCTGTTGTTACATGTAATAACAGGATTGATGTTCAAGTTGAGCCAACTTAAAGCACAAAATAGCATTAACGCAATTAACTGTAAAAACTGGTTTTGTTATGTTACCAGGAAACACAATTATTTTTATCTAATATTTGGAGAGTTTGAGTTTTTCCTTATCTGTTGACTTATGATTAATCAAGTAAATTTCAAATCATGAAAGTTTACTAAATTTAAACCATGCTTCAACATTAGAAAATCCAAAATAAAAGCAAAAAATATATATCAAAACAAAGAGTATAATATATCATAATTTGCGTGAAATCATCTTATTGACGTACCTGGAAATGTGTTTGCTAACTTTAAAAGCTATGCTTTTTAAGGTATGCTTTTAAGGTAACTTAACTAAAAAAGGAAATAAAGAATTTATAATAAATTTGAAAATAAATTTTGAAATAAATTTTAAAAAATCACTAATATTGTATATGATAAATATAAAAATTGACCAACTGATAAAGCCTCTAATTGAATTAGCTAAAATATTAAAATTCAACTTATAATGAATAAACAAGCTTGTAATAAGTAATAAGTAATCATATAAATTATTCATACCATCAAATAAAATTAAAAATTCTTTATTTGTAATTTTGTGAAAAATATTGATTAAAATATAACATACGTCAGGAGCTTATTGTTGTTATTATCTTCATATCTAATCAGAAACAAACAAACTGCAACTTCATGACAACTGCAACTTCACAACAACTGCAACTTCTTAACAACTTTGCAACTAATCAAACAAATTTTAATTTAGAACAATAACTTCATCACAATAGATAACAAACAATAAAACTGAATAAAAATAATCTTTTATGCAGTTTTATCTTTCAAAGATAAATTTAAAATTAAAACCTACAACTTGTGATAAGCTGTGCCACTAAAACTAAAAATACTAACTAAAATATTGTTATTCCATTTTAAACATTTTGTACAAAACAAAATTGCTTTTTAGAAACTATAGAAAAAGCAATTTTTAAAGTTTTTAAAAGTAAATTTAACTTTAAATTTAACTATAAAATCTAACTTATTTATCACCACCAGACAAAAACACTGTACTAAATAATTAGATTCATATAAAACATTATTCAATTCTAACATGAATTATTTAAAACCAATAAAAAATAAGATAACAACTTTATATTTAAAATAAGGTCATCGTCAGTTTCTATAAAATTAAACTGCCTGTTACGATACAATTTCAATTCACCTACAAAACAGAACATGTTTCATTAACTAAAACATTTAAAAAATGAAACTTTAGTAATTTTAAAAAAAAAATACAAATTACTTTTATAACTATATTTTAATATTATTAAGAATATTATTATTTTTTATGATATTAGAGAGATTCAAATATATTTCAGAGATTTATAAAGCTTAAATAAGAAATACAGAAAACCTTACCGTGTGCACATCTACAATGCCTTGTGCATTATCAGCTATTAGTGATAGCTGTAAACCTCCAAAGTTCATTTGATAAAGTTAAGATAAGGCTTATAACTTTTAATTTTTATAAAATATTTTATTTTAAATATAATGTATATATATATATATGTATATATATATATATATATATATATATATATATATATATATATATATATATAAATATATTTGTATATATATATATATATTTGTATATATATATATATATTTGTATATATATATATATATATATATATATATATATATATATAATATATATATTTGATTTGATATCACTTGATGTTAATGATTAAAGGTGTAAAAGTGTAGATGTGTTGGTAATATTAGTTGTTGCTAATGAATCAAAATACAAAAATTTTTTTAAAAAAAAACAACAAAAATTCTGATTCACTCTTAACAAGGCTGCAAGTAACCACTATGAAGTTGGTAGTTACTAGGAAAAAAAAGAGTTATAGAGCAAGGAAATGGTTGACAGAAGACAAGAAAAGTTTTAGGGTGTATGAGTCAGGAAAACATGAAGACGGGAGGGAGTTTTAAAGGGGTAAAGTGCAGTGAAAAAAAACTAGACGAATAAAGGTTTTTAGAGCATGCATTAAACAAATGAAACGAAAATGAGTTTTTGTCTCAGCAGTTAGCAAGTCAGGTAATCTTTATCAAATAGTTTAGAGAAAATTGAAGAGAATTCTTGAGAAAAATTTTGTAAGACTATGACAGGAATGTTGTCTGGACTACAAGCTGTAGGAGAGTTCAACTGAGATATGACTTTAGCAATAGAAGCTGGAGTGATTTGAATGTTTAACAATCTGTTAACCTGTTTAATTGGAATGGAAGGAAGAGAATGGCCATAGCGTTCAAGAGTTGAATTTCATGGTCATAGAAGAAAAGTTCTTTGCAAATAGTTCTGCTTTATCCTTGCATAAGGTAATAAGATCTGTCCCATGAGATGGAATGTTAGACCTATCCTTGTTAATGATATTTTAGAAGATTTTCCAAAAGTCTCTTGAGCCTAACTTCTGAAATGGACTGAAAATCATGAAAATAATCCTAGTCAACTTTAGGGTAGTGAGATGTAAGTAAGTAGTGCGATGATAGGGATTGTGAGTCTGAAAAAGAAGTACAAGATGAAAGATTTATAGAGATCATTGCATAGTCAGAACTACTTTTTACCAGTTAGGGTCAGAGACAAGACATAAATCAAGGAGTGAAGGAAAATGGTTGTCAGGAAAACAAGTTACAAAGTTAACTATTTGAGTAAGCGATTGAGAAATGCAGAAGTTATAGGATTTAGCGCCAGCAGGCTCAGCGACATCAGAGCCAAGCCATTTCGTGTGATGAGCATTGAAGTCACCAATAACAACAATATTGACAGAGGGTATAGAAAGAGAGCATGGTCATTTTTATCAGAAATTACATCTAAAAGAGTGCAGTCTTGGGAAGAAGGAGAACGATAAAGAACAAAGAGAAAGCTGACAGAGTGAAGAGGTGCTAAACGAAATCACATAAAAGAATGGTCAAAAGATTAGAATTTGATTTCATGACGAATAGGTGAATTGATGCGTATGTATACCCCCAAGAAGGGGTGGCAGTTGGCTGAGTTAGGCTGAATTGTGTGCAACCCATCCCAACTCAGCCTGATAAATAATTTTCTAAACCCAGCCTTAATATATTTTCTTAAATTTAATTCTATGGCTTATTAAAGCATTAAATTCAAAACATTAATCAAAGTGGATTTTCTAACCAACAGTTAAAGGGTCAACAGTTAAAGGGTCTAAGAAACTTCTAAAATCATCAATAACTTTTCCACCAGATTAAATGGACTTTCTGAATTTCACTTTTCCAACATGTAAATAGCCTTCTGAATTTTGTGGAGGTTGAACAAAGCAAGATTGCCTGTTGGATAATCCATAAATTTCTTTAGTTACTGTAATGCAAGTGAAGATCAGTTACAATGCAGTATTAATTATATTATAAATTAAAAAAAAGAAAAGAAAGAAGAAACAAAATTGGTATGTATCAAAAATAATGTGTATGCTGTTCACTGTACCTTTAAAAAATGTTTTCAAAAAAAAAAAAATTTAAATAACCGTTTATGTGCAGGAGAAGATTAAATGTATTTGACAACACAGAGTGACTAGAGTGTTAGTTGGTTCTCTCCCTGCTCCCCCCCCCTTCCTTTCTCCCAAGCATTCAACTTTGTTCTTCACCTTCACAAATGTCTTATCACTCATTTTATATTTTCTTATGATTTTTATTTTTTATTCAATGACACCATCTTCTAACTGTTTTTATTATCACATTTCTCAGGTCTACGAAACTGGGCGGCTCCGTTGGTCACTTTTTGCATAAACAAAAAAATTTATTCTTTGTGGCTGGTGAGTCTTTTAGGTATCTACAGAAATTATGAAACAGCAAGAAACAAAAAGAAATTAAGAAAATTGTATAAATCTAGTATTACTCAAAATGTTTAAGGACTTCCATTTGCAATACCATTTTTAAATGCATCAACACCAGATTGAAAAATAAGGTTTAAAATATGGGCCAAGCATCGAATTTGAAGATTATTTCCACTGTCAAATAAATCAACATGATGATGTTGTAGCAAAAATTACTTTGTCATTACTACTTGCATTGTCAAGAGTCAGGCAATGTAGTTGGTTCTGATTTTTACCATTCAGTCACACAATTCCAAAATCCAGAAGCATTAGACTTCCCATTATACAAGGATGGCAACAGCTTGGAGCAAAGAATATGCTTCATAATTTTGGAGTTGTTGGTAATATTATGGGTAGTAACCACCATATTACTATAGATTAAAAAATTATAAAAGTTGTTTGCAAATCAAAAAATTTTAAATATCTGGTATTTGAAACTTTTTTCTGATATCAAAACACAATGTTACAGACCAAAAATTTTGATTGGATGCCCACAAGTCTGATGTTGGTATTAACATTTTGACTCTTGTAGTTTCCAACTTCTTTTAATAGTCACTATAAATTTTCATACACTTTTGATTTTCTTGCCTCAGCAATTGCTAGCAGTTGCTAAGGCAATCTTGGTTTAATCAATCTTTTTCCATTTGATCATTGTCCAATTTGACCAACAGCAATCCTAAACAAAAGCTGTTGTTTGGGATTGCTGTCAATCAAATTTCCATTTAACTATACTACATCCTGCTGGAACAAATTTCAAAAGTTGTTAAGTAGCAGTTTGGCTTAGATATGAGAGTTCTAAGTGTGGATGTTCCATTACCCTTCTTGGAATAAATTGTAAATTTATGGAATAAATTTCCAATATATAAATTTAATACTTCCACTTGGATTAAATGGAATAAATTTAATACTTCCACTTCCTGACATTGAGAATACAAAGTTGAAATATTCATAAAGATAATTGTTTAACTAAAAAAAAATTGAATTATTTATTAAAGGGAAAAAAATTATCGAGTCAAAAACAATAAAATGGGAGAAATGATTTCTAAGAAGTAAAAGAAAGTTTCAAAAATGTTGACTCAAAGGAAAATTAAAAAAAAAATGTTTTTATCTGGTCACATTGTAGTTACTACAGTTTTACAAGTACTATAAGCTATTTTTGTATGTTTTCACAGCGCTTTCTTTTGAAAAAACAAATAGTAAAGTTTTGAAAAAACAAATAGTATATTAATGGACTGGGTTGGGCTGAAACACCCAAACCCAACCCATGGGTTAAGGGCTAAATTGCCACCCCTACCCCCATGCCAAGCATGTGACTATTGGAATCTTTGCAAATCAAAAAATGGTACCTATCAACACTGAGATCTGAAGAGGAAATTTTGGAATTTAAATTAGTCTCACTAAGAGCATACAAGTCTGGTGAGTTTTGCAAGATGTAAGATTCTACTGATAAAAGGTTGCTTCGAAGACCATGAATATTTGTAAAAGATATATTAAAATAGTTAGGTGGTAGGATTGGTTTTTTATGTTTATAATTTTGGGCTACTTTTGGCATCGATTAAGTTTAATGAGAACTTGACAGGAAACAATGTAACTCTTATTAGAATAGTTTAATATTTTTTACAAAAGTATTATAATTAATTTAATTATATTAATATACTTAAAAATCAGATTTATTTTGTTTATCGAGCATTTTTTCTGCTTTAAACAGTTTTATATAAATAAAATATAAATAAAAAATTAAATAAACTTTTTAGTAATAAACTAATGTTTTTAGTCTATAGAAAATAATTTTACGTTATTTTTATATTGTATTTATATAAGAATTCATTTTAATTTTTTAGGTCTGATCAGATTTTTAGAAGGGTACTACCTTATATTAATTGCAAAACGCAGAAGGTATGTTGTTTGTTATCTCATGTCAGAATGTATATTGTTTATTACTTAATATCATGTCATTTGTTTCTAATGTCAGCTAAATTCTGAAAATTTTTTTTGTAAATTTTTAAAGAAAAAATTAATGCAGTTTTTTGAACATTTTCAATAAAGTTAGTGAAGTAACTTTTATTTTATTTTTTTATTTTTTTTATAAAATAGAGTGTAAAAGGAAAAAATTTTTGTTTTACTGAATGTTTTGATTTACTGAAATCCACAAATCAAAAATATTTTTTTAATTTTGTGTTAATCATTATTTTTAATTTTTCTCAAGGTTTTAATAAAACTTTATTTTTTCTTTTTTAAAATTTTTTGTTTTGTGTAAGAAAATTTAAGTTGTGAGTTAGATTAACTAAATGTAAAATAATTTTCTTTCAAATTATTCTCAATTAAAACATTCTTAATTAACTGTGAAGGGTACAGTGTGTTTTTTCTTTATTACAGTTTCCATAAGATAATCATTTAAGTTGGTTAAAAATTTTTTTATGAGACTTATTCCATAATAAATTTTATAAATATATTCTCTCTGAAATAATTTTTTCCTTATAAAACTATTACATTATTTATTAGGCTACAATATTGAATATGCATATATTATTAAAAAAAAACAGTTATTCATATACTAAATTATTCAAGGTTAAAAAATATATTTTGCAATCAATTTAGTAAATTTTTCTTATTTAACATTCATGTTCAGCATCACTTTTTATTTCTTATAGAGTTGCCATATTGAAAAAATTTTATTAAGAAATATTTGATTTCATATAAAAACTTTGGAAAAATTTTTGTAGACAATTTGTTTTCATATCCTTATGACAGCAACTTCTCATATTTATTCTTATAAAAGTTGTTTTTATTTCTATCATTGTAATTTCTTCATTATGTTGGTTTTTATGGTTCCTTATGATATGATAGTAATTGTTTTTCATATTTATTTTAAAACTTTTGTTTTTCAGTTTAGAATTTTTTAATAATAAAATTGTTGATTTGATATTCTTTAGGTTCTATTAATATTTTTAAAATTTAAATTACATTATAAGTTAACAAATATAAATTAGTTAGCATAAATTAAGTAAAACTAAAATAAATTTAATAGATCTAAATATATACTTGTAGATTCTATTTTGTTCTGTAGATTTAATTCATTTATTATTATAATTACTATTTTATTTTAAATGCTATATTTTAAATAGAGTTGCTCTTATTGGAGGTCATGCAATTTATAAAATTGACGACACAGCCATTATTCCAATTGCGAATGAACAAGCAAGATCTAAGATGACCAATCCAGATGAGCAAAAGTAATTTGTTTATAATTATATAAAAACTTTATTTAAAAAGTAACTTTATTATAATTAGTTCATAAACATTCGAAAACATTAGTTTTGTTTTTGAATGTTTACACTATTTAGAGCCAGGTAGAGCCTAGTCATGACTCCTCACATTGGAGGAAGGGGGCCCAATTTTAGGGCCCATTTACAAATTTAAGATACTGCATACTTAGGTCAATATTGTCCTAATAAATTTTCCACACTTTAAGTCTTAAATGCCGACTTGAATCCAAAGTGCTTTTTGAGAAAAAGTAAAAAAGTAAAAAATAAAAACCCTCAGTTGATATTTTATGTTTTGTGGAGACCTAAGTCTGTAGTATAAAATACGTATTTGTATTTCTGAATAATTTTTATAATTTTTATTCTTTTTAGATACTTGCGTATTTTTCAAAATGTGGATTTGGCTAGTAACTTTTATTTTAGGTATGTTAAAGTATTTATTCATATAACTTATAACAAAAACAATATTCTATAAATTACCAAAGATGGATTACCAAAAATTTATTGAGAGAAGAATCTATATAAAAAGAATGCGCAAAACTGTCGGAGTATATTTAGAGGAAACTAGTGCAAAATGGGGTACTTGGGCATATAGTTTTTTTTTAATTGTGGGATTTTTTCTGAGTGTGGCATAATAGTGTATCAAACGTAGAACATAATTATCTATTTTAACCTAAGTATGGTGTTTTTATACAGGCAAATATACAAAAAAGTTTGAATTCATAGGCATCAAATTGCTGATTGATAAAGTATCCAAAAATAATCAAGAAATTTTTTTTAGTAAACTAAAGCCACATATAAGATGTTACAAGACAAAAAATTAAATAAAACTTTTACTGTTGTTGGTGCATTTTGCAAGGTTGTTCTTTGTAAATGTGCAACCAAACATGCATCTTAACATTCAATCTGTACATGGTGTTTTTAGTTTTGTTGAGATAATAAATTTTTTTTAATTAACTTTAATAATTTCTATTGGTTTTTTTTTTTAATTTAAAGTAAAATTTTTAGTTTGAACACATTGATTGATTTATAAACCTTTCATGCAACATATGTTGTTCATATTAATATGTTGTTCATAACATATTAGTTTAAACACATTGATTGATTTATAAACCTTTCATGCAACATATGTTGTTAAATTATTTAATTATTGAGCAATATTTAATGTTGATACAAAAATAAGGGTAATAATGTTAATATATATAAGATGATAAAGTGCTTCAGAAGTGATTCAACAAAACTGAAACAGTGAGCACACAGTTTGAAACAGCGAGCACTTAGTTTGAGACAGCTCCAATGAAAGTGCAATAGATAAGTATTTACAGATATTCTATAGAAAAAATTCTGAACAAGACTTAAGGAGATTAAGAATTAAGGAGATTAAGTATATAGTAATTATAGTAAGTGGAGTTAGATTTGATGATTTTGATTTTTTTTTTTGATATTTTGATTTTTTTATGTATAGATTTTTTATTTTTCTTATTTCATATTAATTTTTTTAATGATCTATATTCTTATCATTGAAACTTTTAATTATAATTGTTATGTAAAAATATTAATATAATAGTATAAATATATGATAAAGTATTATATTTGCAATGTATTTATAAATTTTATTTACAAACAATATTATCAAGTTTATTTTTATAATAATTGTTATTAAAAGAAAAAGTTTTTTTTTTTTTTGCAAAATTAATTTTTTACCATAAAAATTATTGTACAAATATTTTATTTTTTGTTTTAATTGTTGGTTAAATTTTTTTTTTAGTTATAGCTATGATGTAACTCGTTCGCTTCAATATAATTTAGCTCCTTACTATGGTTTACCTAAAAAATATTGTGATTATGCAGAAGAAGCAGATATGTCGAAGTTGAATGATGAATGTCAGCAAGATAATAATGAAGATGTAACTGAGGATGCGAAGGATTTGAATTTCGATCAAATATATAATTTTTCATCAAAAATGTTTAAAGAAGGAATGGAGCTACCATCTGTTTCAGCAAACATTATACCAGACATGTCTTCATTAAAAAATTCCAAAAAAAAGAAGCAATTTAAAACCAAAGTGTTCCGTGGAATACCAACTGAAAAATTTGTATGGAACTCATATATTTTAAAAGAACTTAAAGACAATGTTCATCCTGATTGGTTGCTCAACATAATCCATGGGTTTGTTGGACAGTCAAGTAAGTTTTTAATTTTTCTAATTAAATATATAATGATAATATTTAACACCAAAATACTGATGAAATCAGTGGGAAAAAATGTTGCTAAAAATGTGAATTTGCGGGATGTTTGATGAAGTTCTTTTTGATAATTTTTTTGAATTAGCCAGTCAGATGATACGGTTTTTTTTCCAAAACAGCTGAAGTGAAAATAGTTGAAGTTTGATTTTTTTTGTGTGCTGTAAAATATTTTAATTTATTATCAAAAAAAAAATCTTCCATTAATTTTTCTTCTGTCAATATTCAATATTTCAGCAAAAGTTAAGAAAAAAAGATATTTAAAATATCATTTAACCACACCACCCTCACTCCAAAAGTTCACACACTTCACCCACACCACCCCATCCCAAAAATTCTGGAATTTACAAACAACATAAATATAACTATTTAAAACTGTGTTAGTATGTTTTTGTTTTCTGCTTTTACATGAAAAATATGCTAAAAGCTGATGAAATAATCAAATAAACATAAGAAGTAAAATTTGAAACAAACAAAAACTTTTTTTTGTTTGAATGACTAAATAAGTAGTAATAAAACTGTCATACTAAAATAATTTTTGTGATGTCGCATTTATCACCCCTCCCCCCCCCCCCCCAATTTCTTGTCACAAATTTCCCCACCCTCTCTTTAGTATTCTATAAATGACCCCTGATTGCCCACTGATTTTTATACTTTAAAGCAACAAAAATTTGGGCAAAATTAATCAACATAATCACAAGTTACGAAACAAATGAACAAAACATTCCCAATCAACAATATAGGAATATTCCCATTCAACAATATTGACAATATTCAAATGGTTATTAGCAGTAAACAACTGTATTTTTTTTGAAATAAAATTCACCAACCACTGCAAGCCTCAAGTTTTAACAGAAGAGAGATTCAAGATTTGCTGCCTATTTTGAGCAATCAAAAAGCGATGACCTTTTGACAAGACATGTTGACAAGTATATAGTTGTGTCATTAGCAGCTTTAGAGGAGAAATATCAAAAAGGTTATTATATATAGGCGAGGAACAACAAAAGGTCCCATGGAGCCTTGTGGTACTATAGAAATTACTGGAAATGAAGAAGAGAGTCGCCCATTAAAGACAATTTTTATATAGTGATTAGAAACAAAACCAGACCAGACCAGAGTGAATTTATGGAGAAAACCAGCATACCAGACTTTATCAAAAGCTTTTGTAATGTGAAAAGCAATATCCCTTTTTAAGCCCACCAATTAAACATTCTGTTATAAAGGTTAACAAGTCATCAGTAGAAAATCATTTTTACTCAATACCAACAAAAAAGTGCAAAAATTTCTATGTCTGTCTAAATCCAGGAGATTATCTAAGAGGCACAGTTTTTAGTGGAGAGACAAAAGACAACAACCCCAAGATTAACACCATGAAAATCAAGAAATGGAATCACAGTCACCCATAAAAAAGTTGCAAGAAGTGAGAAAATAAATAACAAAGAAGTAATAAATAAAAGAGATAAAATAAGAAAATCTGATATCAATTTTATCAAAATTTCTAGACAAAAATTTTTAACAACATAGTCCTAAAGTAGTACATAGTTCTAAAGAGCATTTTTGTTGTGGTTAAATTAATTTAAATTATTATTTTTTCCTCTCTTATATATAAAAATTAAATATTTTTTAGCCAACTTTTTTATTTAATAAATATCAAGACTGTTTGTAACAAACACTTTATCTTGATTTTTAAAACTTTTTTAAAATTTTCGATGAGAATTTTTTCAAGATAACTAAAAAACAATATGCATCAAAAATCTAGTAAAAATCAAATTGACTTAAATCAAATCAAATAAAAAAAATAAGTTTTTCTTATTCAATCATTCAACTGTTTTTTCATTAAAATAAAATTTATTCAAGTTATGCAATTTATTTAATTTAATTCTTTCTGTTTAACTGATATTATAGATATTAGTGTTTATGGAAAACCTCTTTATGTCACTCTTATTGCACGGCGATCTAACAAATTTGCTGGAACTCGGTTTTTGAAAAGAGGTTCAAATGATGAGGTTTGTGATCTTAAAAACCTTTTTTCCAAAATTTAAAATGTAGAAAATGAATGTTTTAATTTATTTTATAGGGTTTTGTTGCTAATGATGTTGAAACTGAGCAAATATGTCATGATGCATCCACTATATCTTTAAGAAGTGGTCACTATACATCTTATGTTCAACTTAGAGGATCAGTTCCTTCTTTTTGGTCACAAGTAAATTAAAAATTCTAAATTAAAAATATAGTGTAAATAAAGTTGTAAATATATATATATATATATATATATATATATATATATATATATATATATATATATATATATTTTATTATTTGTTCTTTTTTATTAATTTTTATTATTGGTAGTAAATTAGTGATAGAACACTCAATCAAGAAGTTTAAATCCACCCTACACCACCCTGAGCCTCAAGAAGCACCAAACTCAACCTGTTTCTCTGCCCAGTGGCCTTGTTTAATAAGGTTTATGTTTTAAGATTAAGAAAGTTGCAAATAAATAAAAAATTAAAATAAAACAGTCTTAACTGTAATGACCCCTCTTGAGCCTCGGCAAAGTAAATTTAACACACAAAAAAAACATAGTTATGTTTTGCATCAAATTCATTTTAATCAAAATTTTGTTCAATACTTAGGATACAACTGGTGGTAGAATCACACCGAAACCTCAAATACTTGGTAAAACTACATTTATTTTAAATAAAATATTATTTTCAACTTATTATGTATTTAATACTTTATTTATTATTTTTGGTTTATATATATGGGCAATTTCACAAGAAAGAGGGAAAAAAAAAAAAAGTTAGGAAAACATATGCTAATTCTTTTTTTAACTATTTAAGAATACTTTTAAGCCAAAGAATGATTAAAAAAATCATTTTATCATACCATAGCATTGTTTTAAAGTTGCAAAGGTTATATAAACAATATTTGATGTTTTTATATAGTCCTGTTGTAAAGTATTGGAAAAGGTTAATGTGCTGTGTTTTTATGTAACTATTACTTTTAAATTTAACTTAGAGACAATATTAAACATTATGTAGATTATTATTTATAAAAATGCACTCCAACTATGTATAAAAAAAGAATATGTTTATTAAATTAATGCGTTACGACCATTATGAAAAAAAGTCAAGAACTTTTTTCTAAGCTTTGTATCAGACTTTATAAAGCTGAAAGTAAAAGTAAGATACTGATATAAATTTTATCATCGTTTTAAATATTTTTTTAAAAAGAGCTTTAGATGATAGTATTAAGATGTAACAAAGTACGTTACGACCATCACGTTATGCTTGTTTTCCATAATGGCGTCTTGACATCTATATAAAAAGTTTCATTGCGAATGATTTTATTATTGAAACCAAGTTAAAAATAATTTGCAGTTTGTTTACCCATAATATTGCTAAGCTTGTTAAAGTAATTTAGAATAATTTGAAATGAGAAATTATTTCTTTTTTAAAGTATAAATCACTTATTTAAAATAATTGATGTAAATAAATTAATATTTGTTGAGAAATAAAAACTTTTAACATAAAGAAAATTTTTTTTCTTTAAAACGTTTTTTATAGTTTGCATTGCAACGTTTTTGTTTATTTGATTTCACGGTTTTTTTAATTATAAATTTTGCGTTTTTTTTTTAAAATCATAATGGAACATTA